TTCGAAGGATGCTCCTCAGACAGTAGTGGTCAAAAACTGCCAGTTTCTGTTCATCCTCCACGCGCATAGCCCAAAATTCGCATCCGTATAGGAGAACGGACATAAAAGAAGAAAAAAAGAAACAGACTTAAAAAACTGATTAGCACGGGTATTTCCTCATGTCTCATGCAAGCTGATCTGTTTTTATTTCTTGCTGATGCAACTCGTCCACTGCCTCTTACCTCTATACGGCTGAGCTTGTATAAGAGACGTTGGTGAGGTGCAGAGTCAAATGTCTTCTTTGAGTCTGCGAAAACTGCATGCACCGTATTTCCCTCATTAAACGCTCAGGTCCATCGTTCTAGACAATAGAGCAGATTGGTCAGGCAGGACCTTCCTGTACGGAATCCGTGCTGCTTGTCAGATAGGATTTGTAGCTGGCAAAAACAGCAGACTTTACTGGATCCATGAAATTTCGGGAGAGCTTTTCCTCTCAGTGCATTATAAGAGTAACCACTCGGAAAAATACAAAATTGAATTGGTAAAGAAAGGTCAAAAAGGCCATATGGCATGCCCACGATGGCTAATTAGCAAAGTAAGATAGTTAAAACAAAGTTATTCTTACACTCTTCTGCAACACGTTATTGTCAAGACATCTGTGCAGAAACCGGATCTGCGAATAGGTTGAGGCCTCACTAAGGGTAACTGTCTCCCATCGTCGGACCCACTTCTGTTACCGTTCTCTGCTGATGTCTCTGATGATGAATCCGCGACGGATGTCGAAACGTCAGGCGAACAAAAGTATTGTCCCAGCGATCGAGTCTTCTTCTTCTTCTCAAGGTTACTCTTATAATGCATTGAGAGGAAGCAACTGAAAATCTCTTCCGAAATTACATGGATGCACTAAATCCTCGTGTTTTTGCCATCTACGAATTTGCACTTAGGAAACTTTGCCTTAAATGTCAGAGCAGAGTCAATGGCACTCCAAAAAATTATATCAACTCGCGTTTGACTATTCTTTCCATTAGCTTGCAACATGTTGAAGTGAGGCTTACCGGCCTGTAGTTGTTTGCGGACGCCCAACTCCCACATTTATCAATGGGTGAGATCCACGCGGCCTTCCAATCGGGGGACAATTGGCCTGGTTTAAGGGAAGCTCGTAAGAGTAAGTAAAGGGGTTCTGTCAACTCTACGGCTAACTCTTTCAACAGCTTTGCAGGTATTCCATCCGAACCTGATGACTTCCTGTAGCTTAAGCCGTTTTTGCAGAACAGTAAATTCCGTAAGGGCAACTGAGTCAATGGTCGGAATCTCATCCACACTGAAGTCGACGGTGGTTAGCTCGGCCTCTCTCGTAAAAAAAAACGACTAAAAGCAGCGGGTTAGATGTAAAGCCTTTTCGTTGTTCTCGCAAAGTTCTACACCTTCAGTCGTTTTCTATCAAGGGATGGGGTCCCTATTTCGAGTGTACTGTCTAATGTAGTAGGAGAAAAGCTTTGGGTTCCCTTCTGCACGATTTATTAGGTCACTCTGGAAGCTTTGGAGGTTTTTTTGTACAAGCCTCTCTACCCTTTTTCTCTGCGACTTGTACTTATTTTGCAACTCGAGGGTTTTCCCTCTGAAGTAAACAATAATCAATCCGTATCAAGAGCTGGGAATTTTGAAATGATTATCTTCTACCGGACACGTTCGATATACTTATGGTCGCTAGCCCTGAGAAAAGTACTATATTCATCGGGATTTATTTTATCCTTCTGTTAAACCACGTAATATATATATTTTTCGTTACTTTTCGTCAACTCCATGTTTGTCCTCCGCTCTGCAGGCACCCAAAGTAGAATTGACCGACTTCGTCAAATCAAGTCTGGCCGACCGAGAGAGACCAATCGCCGCCAAGGCTCGGGCACAGCTCATTGAATCCACTTTCAAGGCCCTGTCTGGCTTCTCAGAGGAAGCCAAAACCACTTTCCTGGCTGTGGGTGAGGAGATGTATGCCAGCCGGCGGGTTCGGGTCAACGCACTCATCAAGGCCGCCTGCCTCGCTATGACAGTTGATCAGGTTAGAGTTTTAGCATGCTATTGTTTGCCTACTGAACAGTTGTAAGTAGACATGATTTATTACCAGACATTGTTGCTTTTTTTCTAG